ATAAGTAATGTTTCTATATAAAAATATTAAAAATGTAAGGTAAAAATCACCAGAGCAATTGCATGGGAAGAAAATACTTGGACTCAAAGCAATTTATGAATATTACCTATTCTTTGATTACTCTGATGTAAATTTATGCTATACTATTATTGTTATTGCTAATAATATCATCACTGATTTTTCTTTCTTTATCTTTTATTGTCAACATCCCAATGTCAGTTGATATTTTTGTGTGCATATATATTAATGAATTCACCTTAGTTAACAAGGTTCCAAGCTAAATTCATTCTAAAATTCTTTATAGCTTATTTTACCATTGGATTTTCGATTGATTACAATAGTAGTATCAAATAATCAAAAGAACATTGGTAATTTGACAAGACATTCATCCAATAATCCAGTCTGATATGGAAAACAATTCATTCACATGCTGAGGAGAAAAGGGATGCAAAAAATCAAAGGGGTGGACTTCCATAGCAAATCGTCTCTCCTGATAAATGATCATTGTTGAATCCGAAATGCCAAAATAGTTTTTCATATCAGCTGAAATTAATCTTATTATATAATTTCCAAAATTATATCCGAGATTATTTGAACTCTTTAACTCAGTAGCAGAAATTTTTATGTGAAAAGTATTGTAAATCTGGAATTGCTTGCCGAAATTGATTTTCAAAGCAATTTGAGGTGTTTTTAATATATTTTCTTGAATGCAGAATCCTAGAAAGTCTAACTGTCAGAGAGGTCATAATTTCTCATAACTGGCAGAATAAGGTACGGTTGCCAAGATATTAATTGATTGATTGGAAAAGAAGTAAGGCTGATGATAAGAGACTTACATGCTGCCTTGTCAATATATAAATCTCAATTATGTTGGGATAATGAATATTTAATCCAAGAATCAATGATAAGTTTCAAATTTGCATTATTATTATTACAAAAATTGGCATTACTTCAATTACTGTGACATTTATATCCTGCATTTAATAATCTTTAAAGAAATTTCATTGCAACAAATTATTAATTATCAATCAATTAAAAGATATGAGAGATATCATTTATTATATTTGGTGTTTGCAAATAATAATTATTGAGGATATTAATTTTAGATAAATTTATAAAAATGTATATTATTATATCACTAACTAAAAAAGTGAGAAATGATGATGGTGATGAATTGTTTTTTTTTTTTTTTTTGTAAGGATAAATGTCATTGGAATTAATTAAAAAGATTGTGACCAGAAGAAAAAATCTTCAGATACAAAGTTCCTTGAACTTTTTCATCAGTATTGGCTGCTGAAATTTTTCACAATTAGCATGCTTTATTGGCAGTAAAACATCCAAATGTTATTTGTGCAATAGTTGGAGCTCCAATATTTTGTTTAAATCATTCTTAACAAGAACAAAAATCTATTTTTCTAAATAAAATCATAATAATAATATTATTATTATTATTAATGATGATAACAATGATAAGGTTGAAATAGATCCTTATTTCGACAATCCTACATCTTTATGGAAAATTTCACAAGAGGCTTAATTTCAAGAAACATAATACATAGTTTTACATGTATCAAAATCTGAATGGAGGAAAGCAAGCTCTGGAATTGTTAAATATTGGACGTTCTCGTTCAATTGAGATATCAAATAAAAACAAAAAAAAAAAATTATACAACAAGATATTCTCAAGCCGCTTCGTCCAATCCTCAGAATGCTATACGTTCTGATAAATGGAGAAGAGTGGTGATATTTTTTGGTGCCAAGTGGATGTCGGGCTAGCTTTAAATTAACTGGGGTATTTAATAATGCATTAAAATTTAGATAATAAACGTGGCAAGGCTTCACTTTAACATTAAAAATAAATAATAATAATAATAAAAGTGATAAAGAGAATCGGATATAAAAAGACATTCAAGTCATGATATCCGTCGTTGACCAATAGTCATACTAACTACGACTGACTACAACATGAAGTGCAGATCATTCGTTAGTGTGAAACCTATTACTATCTGATTTCATCGATTCGCCAAAATATTAAATGAAAAAAAAATAAAGTTCTCGGGCGGGTCCTTTAAGTCCTAGAAAACGTCATAGGCTTTTTTTAAAGAAAAGATTTGTAAAAGGTTATTTATTATATATAGTGAGCAAATGATATATTTAAGTCAAGAAAATTTATTATATAGTTTAAATAATTTATATTGAAAATGTGTGGAACCGAGTCTAAGAAAATCCAGTCCCGGTCTGGTCCTTCGAATAATAATAATAAAGTTTTACAAAATGAACAATTTCATTTATTCTAAAATCAATAAAGGAATAAAGTACAAAATATCATGATCTTGTGATTTATAGTTTAAAATTTTTCAATATGATTTTATTTCCATATTTGAAATAGTGAAGATATTTTTATAATAAATATTTTTGCGGCTTCATATCAAATGAATTTATTTAGAATTGCACTATTAAGGTAAACCCTTTTAGTTGTTGTTTTTATTTATTATTTTTTGATATTTTTTAATATTTACACTCATATGACAATTTTTTACTTATTAATAGAACGCGTAAATTGAATTTCATCACCGCCTATTCCGGCTGACCCCTGTGGCACAAAAATTTATTGGGTAAGTTGTGTGAAAGTCATGCAAACATTAACATTGCAATAATAACCAATAAGATTCTGCGCAGTCTGTCTATAAACTAATTTTGTGAGAATAAAAACAAGTATATTGTAAGTGTTGCATTGATAGCGATCTTGAGAGAAAGTACAAAATGTGGCTATCGGGACAAAAGAAATTAATCCCGGAAGAGAGTTGGGGGCAAATTTTATAAACGAATGATCAAATAAATTCTATTCAGATATTGATGTTCTGAGAATATGTTCCCCACAATAGAGAATAATTTTCTATTGATAGTTTCCATGTTACATATTATTGTTGTTGTTCTTTTCTTTACTGAACAAATAAATAATAAATTACATCAAACGAATGGTTTTGTGTGTTACATGAAATCAAAAATTAATTAAAACAGATATTTTTTTACTACGTAATAAAAAAAACGAAGACTAATATTTTGTTTTGTTTTGTTTTGTAAGCCATTCAATTGCATGATTTATGATCTCACTTGTTTTTTTTGTTAACTTAATTTAGTGAAAAAAAATTTTTATTTTTCATTTCGTAATTGATCACAAAATCAAAAATCAACCAACAATACTAATACTGATTTATTTTTAATTTAAAATGATAACGCAGAAAATAAACTAATTAAAATATTCGGTGATTTTTTTTTTTTGTTTATTTACTTTTTTTTTTTTTTTTTTTTTTTTTTTTTTTTGATTAGAAATTATCCGAATTTAATAAATAATAATAATAATAATAATAAATAAATTATCGAAAAAAGGAACCAGGAAAAACGAAGTTCTATTTATTTTCTCTATAAATGTGTATTTGTATGTTGGACTTATAGTAAATCTTTTCCAATGTCTTCATTCTATATTATTTTTAAATAATAATCAAATATAAATAAAAGATATTAATATGTTATTTTCCAATTCGCTCATTTTAATAATAGGTAATTTAGGTTGGTTGCATTTTAAAAATTAATAAGAAATAACCGTGTAACAAACAAGCTCAAATCAAAATATATTTCAATGAAACTTTTGTCCAACGCAAAAAAGAAGTTATTGGAACTTCGTTATCCAACGAAATATTCGTAGGTTTTCTCAAATGAAGAGAGATTCAGAAAGTTTTTGGATTTTATTGGAGACGCTCAGTCACTTTTTTTATATGTGGACATCTTGCATGTACAATCACATACTGTCACCATTTGTCTTTTGTGATGTAGGCAAAAGTTGTTCTCACCATTGGCTTCACTCAAACAAAACGCCGTTGAAGAGGCTAATGTATTGTGATGGGACTTGGAACAAAGTACCAATGGAACTCTAGTGTATCTTGAGTACTTTGTTAAAAATATGCAACAACCTTGTATCTGGTGTATAAATTACCTTTTCTTTTATTGGGTCTACATGGAAAATCATACTCGTTTTAATTGGTGGTTGTTTCTTTGCATGACAAGGGAAATAGATGTGAGACCATGATTGACTTGTACTTGCTTTCCTGTATGTCCTGATTTTTATTACGTAACTTCAATACTGGAGATGTTATGTGTTATTGAAAATTATTCAGTTAGCAAATAGTCTCCAAACTTGCGCTAGTTACATGACTAATTTTCAATACTGGAGTCAAATGAACATTGGAGACAATGTTTAATATTTATTTGCTGAACGAAATGAAAATCACAGACAGAGTTGGTCTAGTAAAAATACTCATTTTATAGTTAGTGGATTAACACAAGTCTTGGCGGGATTACTAGAATTGCTCAAGGACGAAAAATATCTTTCCGTTTATAGTTATTTGTAGTTGTTAAAATTTAACCGTCTAGATTCCTTATTAAAGAAGTGTACCCCGAAATATTCGGTGTATTGACTGATGAATTTCCTGAGAAAATTTCTGACAAAATATAATAAAATTAAAATAAGAACAAATTTCAATATTCTGGAGTTTGTATGGTACAGTTTAGTGACTAAAAAGGGTAATTCATCATCACCGTTTCAAGTTCTATCCAATATCTTCATTAAAGTCTGAAATTCTAGACTTTCTCTATTATAAAATTTATTTTTTCCGTGCTTTATATTGAAAACTTATTGTTTCAAATTTAATGATGATGATTTTCTATTCAATTTGTTTGTCCCATCCGTGTTAGAGACTTTTTTTTAACAAATGGAAAGAACTGAATTTAAATAAATTAATATTGATGCATATATGCAGCCCATGTATGATAATAATTTTCAAAACTCAATTTTCAAAAAGTTGTTGGTAAATATTTATTCCATGTTACACATATTACATAAATCATTACACAAACATAAAATTTATATAAATAAACGATTCATACACATTCATTAACTAACTAAAAAATCCAAAAACTTTAAGAAATAATCGACAAATATAATGGGAAACAGCTTTTCAAATGCAAAAAAATTAATCAAAAAATTTAGACCGCTAAACCGGAATCTTTATGTTAATAATGATAATAACTCTTTAAATTTTTTATCATCGTCAACGTCGACATCATTAGACAGTAATAAACGTACGGGAAATGGTAGAAAGAAATCTAATAATAATAATAATAATAATCGCGGCAACCCTCCAAACTATGTTTGGCCTATTGATGAAAAAGAGTTGAATAGGTTGAAAACGCAACATTATTGTTTTAAAGAAATGTTTGATAAAAATTATTCTGCTCCGATTCAAAAATTATTGGAAAAAGGTGGAAAAGGTTTAGATATTGGGTTAATATTATTTAATAATAATAATAATAATAATAATAATAGTAATAATAATAATAATGTTTATACATAATGTACTACTATTATTAATCGATAATATTATACATTGTTCATTTGATTTTATCTCTTGTATATATTATATATTTAATAGTTGCGGGCCTGGATTATTTGTTTTGGAAATGGCATCTGAATTTAAAAATTCGGAATTTATCGGTGTCGATTTCTTGGAAAATTTTCCGAAACAGGCCTTACCATACAACGTAGGATTCGTAAGGGCAAACGTTTTAGATGGTCTATCATTTCCTGACAATAAGTTTGATTACGTACATATCTGTTGTATGAATTATTCTTTTACCGAAAACCAATGGATAGATATCGTGGTAAAATCATTTATAAAATTATAAAATTATAAAATTATTAACTAATAATTATAAAATAGTGAAATAACAATATTATTTATTCTAGATCCCAGAGTTGGTTCGAGTGACGAAACCAGGCGGATGGATAGAATATTACGATATGGGCCCGTCGGTTACAAAAGCGGGTCCGATATTTATGAGATTACACGAAGCACTCGATAACTTATTAATAGAGAGAGGACTAAATACTCAATTCGTCCATAAAATAAAATCAACCCTGCAACGATATCCAAACCTTCAGAATATGGAAGGAGTGCTCAAGAAACAACCGATCGGCAATTGGGGTGGAAAGTTGGGCGAGTTGAATTTACAGAATACGTTGGAGTTTTTCGACGTTATAAAGGATCTTATGATTAATGCATTGGGAATAAACGAATCAGAATACATGAGGCTTGTTAAAGAGTTGGCCAAAGAATTCGATGAGAACAAATCAAGAATACATTTTGTTAGAGTCTTTGCCCAAAAATTTGAGCGTATAAATTAAGCACGTATAAACTGAATTTTTATTGTATTTTTTTTTGTATATTATTTGTTTGTTATATGCGACTTCTATATTATACATATTATAATTTAATAAGATTTTGTAATTTTTTAAGAACCTTCCCCCATTTTGTAAAATATAATTCTTCTTGAAAAATTCGAATAGATCTTCATTGTTTTTTTTATTAATTTAATATATATAAACATTATTATTATATCAGGTTATATTTAATTAAATAAACAAACATGCACAAATAAGTTTCTGGTTTTTTACTTGATTAATCTGTTTTTTTTTTAAAAAAAAATATGGAAAAATTAAATTTTGTTATCTATCTCTCCCCTATATGTGTTTTGTGTATACACATGTGTGAAATATTTTTCTCGATCTGAATTTATTTGATTGATTCAGAATCGTCAATTTATTTCTTTAAAGATTGTTTACCATTATTCAATAACGTTGTGGTTGGTGCTAAGAATCAATGGTCCGACGTTCGTCTTGAGACTGGGCTGGTCTTGGACCGAGTATTTGATCCAATAATAATAATAAATAATAAAAATATAAAAAAGACGAGAAAAATTAGCTAGTTGCTTTTTCTTTTTTTTTCTTTTTATGGTTTTATTTATATTTTATATTCTAATAATAATAATTTTATTATTATATTTTTTTTTAAATTCATAGTTGTATATTTTTTTTATTAAATAAGTCTTGGTATTACGGATAATTTCGTGTATCACAAAGTACAAGATTTTAATATTAATATTAATTTTTATTTTATTATTTTAGAACATGATCATCACCACAAACAAAGAAGTATTAAAAAAATATTTATCAAGTTTAATTAACAAATAAATAAATCTATATTTCTATTTTATATTTAATCAAGAGCCATATTAATTTTATTTTTGGAGATTAATTTCAATGGCAGTGGCAGCTGGTACACCTTTATTATTGATGAAAAGATAATGATGTCTACCTGGTGGCATCATATTACCATTTGGTGGCATTACAACATCTAATGTAAAAACTTTTTTAGCAGCATTAGATGTTAATGAGGTTTTTTTGATTTTTAAAGCAACATATCGTTGTGACATGTGTGTTGAATGAGTCACAAATCCAGAATGTATTAATGCTCCAGTAAAGTCCACATCGGTGGTGGTGGTTTCTACTAGAACCTTGACGACTTGATTAAATTTAACAAGGATTGCTGTATCTTTGTTAAGTGAGGTTTTGCCTGCTACTGATGTAATTTTGTGGCCTGGAACATCTTTAAAAAAGTATGGTGGTGTGTATATTTGATTTCTATATCTAAAACAATATAAGACAATACAAGACAATAATGTAAGATATTTATGATAATTTATTATGATAATGTAAATATTTAATATAATTGTATATTGTTATATAACTTACTCAGTTGGGAATTTAAGATCTTTACCAGTCCTAACAACTGGATTGGGATTGCTACCGCTGATGAAAACTTTACCATTAGGAATTAATGTCGCAACAGAGTGATACATTCTAGCAATACCAGCATCTGAAAGACTAGTAAATCTTTGGCCGGCTTTTGCTTCAGGATCATAAAGGACTGGTATGGTGGCTGGGTCATCGGCTACTAGTGTTGTAACCGTATTACTACTACTGTTAAACCTATCTGTTGTTATTAATTTTTGTATGGACATTGTTAGTTAGATATCAGATGTTAATATTTTAGATTATATATTATATATCATATATATATATATATATATATAATATATTTAGAACATATAGATCTTTTTACACATGTTTCTCTAAACACACATAATACTTACTGAAACCAGCAATACCTTTACCGGCACCGTTCAAGTACATGACTTTACCATCAGCTAACATAACACCATCAGGCATAACACGAGGAAACCCGCCAAAATTTTCCATCTTCCATTCAGTTTTATTAAGATTTGAAAGATCAATAGTACCACAAGTATTGTCAGCGACAGTGTTAAAGTCCGTACCCTTTCCACCACCACAAATCATTATTCTTGATGCATAATTCTTCTCAGGACGTAATGGCAAAATGACCGATGCACCAGTAAATGGATAAGATCTTGATGGACCAGGAAGATTTGGTAATCTCTTTACAATTTTATTGGTTCCCCAGTCCCAAATTATGGATTTAACATCCGCAAATACAAATAATCTTTTTTGATTAGCTGGTCCAGATAATAAATGGGCAACTGGATATAAATTTCTTGGCAACCTTTATTATGTAAGACAACGTGCGTGAGTGTGTATGTACGACGTATGTACGTGAGAATATATATATATATAATGTATAAACTTACGTTTCTTGAAGGAAAGGGAATAGTTGAGGGGTACTCTTTTCGGATGGAAAGAATTCAAAAGTAGGATTATTAATCTTTGCGTTATTAAGACCAGTAGGTTTAGTTGAACCTCCAAGAATAAGCACTCTTCCATCCGAAAGTCTATGAATAAATAATTTAACAATCAATGAATGATCGATCGATCGATTTCAACAATGATTAATTAATATATACGTACGAAATCATTGATAGATACCACCGTTTTGTGGATAATCCATTAATATTTTCACTCCATTGACACTTTTTATTTTGACATGGCTTTAACAATCTTATACTTTGAAATCCACTTTTATGTTGTGTGTTTTGCTATTATAATAAAATTTTTTCTTTAATTCAATCAATTAAATTTATTAAAAAGATGATTAAAAAAAAATTAAAAAATGTTGCGTACTTCTGCACCAGTTCCACCACTATGCACTAAAGTCCCATCACTAATAAAAGAACCGGCAGAGCAAAAAGTATTTGTTTTAAGATCGAGAACTCTTTTTGTTTGTTTGTTAAGGTCAAACTCTGTTGAAATTGCTGGATCTCCATTTGTTTGTGTAAGTGGGTTCTTGTTAACTAGGAAATGAAATGAAATTTACGATTTTTTTTTCAATTGTTAAAAAAAATATATTTTGTTTTTTTTTTTTTAGTAAGAAATTTAAATCATTAGATTCATTTACCTTTATCTATAAAAACAATTCTATTCGGTGCGGTCAAAACCATATGCATAGCTATAATTTATAATTCATTGTGGTTAGAAATATTGATTGATTTACATTAAAAATTCATTTTTCTGCAAAGAAAACCAACCTTCTACACCGGAACTATTATTTTTATCATTGAAATTAATTAATTGATTGATCGATCGAGTAATTGGTCAGTTAATTAACTAATAATTGATCGAAAAAGCATCAAAAAGATATATAAAATAGATACTAACGTTCCAGCCTCTTCATAAGTTCCGGGATTGTCATTTAATTTAGCTTTAACTGCGCGTCCTATTAATTCGTAAAATTAGTAAATAATTCTTGGTGATTGATAAATTAAAACAGCAAAATCAAAGAAAGATAATATAATTAATTACTTTCAAGAAGTGGTGATGCTTTGACATCGTCTCCAAATAATGTTGAAATGGCTACAAAAACCGATAAAATTGGAAGTGTTACTTTCATTATTATGTTTTTATTTTATTATTATTAGATTATTTTATTTTGGTATATATATATATATATATGTAATATTTTTTTTATAAACAAAAAATGATGGATAGATGAATTATGAATTATGAATTATGAATTATTGTGAGCGAAATATTGTGTAAAATTAATGTGTAATTACGCGTGTGTGGGCGAATGAGAATGAGCGAGGTATAATGAGCAAATGATAGATAATGGAAAAGATGGAAATGCGAAAAAAAAAAAGATTAGGGTAATGGTGTAAAATGAAGGAAAGGGATAAAGAATGATGAAGTGAAGACCAAAGAATTAAAAATGAAACGAAAGAAAAAATTAATTCCAGATTTAGCATCGCAAGTGGTTTAAATATTAAAAAAAAGACTGAAAAAACAACAACAACACTCATGCAAGATAATTAACACAGTATGGTTTTTATTTAATTAAATCAGTATATTTTTAGAATTCTCCGTTTAATTAATTAAATTGGTGCAATATTAAATTTACATGTATCTGTGGCGTGATCTGCGGAAAAAATTTAATATCAACCAGGAAATACGACATTATTATTATTACATTTCCAAATTTGGAATTTCCAAATACTGTAATGATTAACATTCTGGATTCATTGTGTAATTCTAAAAAAGAATCAAAACAAAAAATGATTGGCTAAATTTATGCAGATCCTTTCATATATAA